TCCATCCCTACCTCACTCCTCTTCCTCCCTCCATCCCTACCTCACTCCTGCCTCCCTTCATCCCTACCTCACTCCTTCCTCCCTCCATCCCTACCTCACTCCTTCTCCCTCCATCCCAACCTCATCTCCTTCCTCCCTCCATCCCTACCTCACTACTTCCTCCCGATCCATCCCTACCTCACTTTCTTCCCGTCCCTCCATCCCTTAAAACCTCACTTCCTTCTTCCCTCCATCCCTATCTCACCCTGCCTCCCTCCATCCCTACCTCACCTTCTTCCTCTCCATTCCTACTCTCACGGTCCTTCCTCCCTCCATCCCTATACCTCAACCTCACTCCTATCCTCCCTCCCAACCCTACCTCACCCCTTCCTTCCCGTCCATCCCTACTCACTCCTTCCTGCCCCTCCATCCCTACCTCCACTCCTTCCTCCCTCCTTATTCCCTACCTCACTCCTTCCTCCCTCCATCCCTACCTCAACTCTCCTTTCCCTCCCTCCATCCCTACCTCACTCCTTCCTCCCTTCCATCCCTACCTCACTCCATCCTCCCTCAATCCCTACCTCACTTCCTTCCACCCTCCAACCCTTCCTCACTCCCTTCCTCCCTGTCATCCCTAACCTCACCTCCTTCCCTCCCTCCATCCCTACCTCACTCCTTCCTCCCTCCATCCCTACCATCACTCCTCCTCCTCCATCCCTACCTCACGCCCTTCCTCCATCCCTACCTCACTCCCTACCTCCCTCCATCCCTAACCTGCACTCCTTTCCTTCACCTCATCCTCCTACCTCACTCCTTCCCTCCATCCCAACCTCACTCCCCTCCTCGCCCTCCATCCTACCCACTCCTTCCTCCCTCCCATCCCTACCTCACTTCCTTCCTCCATCCCTACCTCACACTCCTTCCTCCCTCCATCCCTACCTCACTCCTTCCTCCCGTCCATCCCAGGGTGGACACATGGACCTGTCACTCCTTCCTCCCTCCATCCCTACCTCACTCACTTTCCCTCCTCCATCCAACCACACTCCTTCCCTCCCTCCATCCCTACCTCACTCCTTCCTCCCTCCAATCCCACCTCCTCCTTCCTCCCACCATTCCCTACCTCACGCCTTCCTCCCCCATCCCTACCTCACCTCACTCCTTTCCTCCCTCCATCCATACCCTCACTCCTTCCATCCTCCACCATCTCCTACCTCCTCCTTCCTCCCTCCTTCCCCTACCTCCTCCTTCCTACCACCATCCCTACCTCACCTCCTTCCTACCTCCCATCACAACTACCTCACTCCTTCCTATCTCCATCCCTACCTCAACTCCTTCCTCCCTCCATCCCTACCTCACAATTCCTTCCTCCTCCATCCCTACCTCACTCCTTCCTCCCTCTCATCCCACCTCACCCTTCCTACCACCATCCCTACCTCACTCCCTGTCCTCCCTTCCATCCCTACCTCACTCCTTCCTACCCTCCATCCCTACCACACCCTTCCCTCCCTCCATCCCTACCTCACTCCTTCCTCCCTCCATCCCTAACCTCACTCCTTCCTCCTCCCCCCATCCCTACCTCACTCCTTCCTCCCTCCATCCCTACCTCACTCCTTCCCCACTCCATCCCTACCTACTACCATCCTCCTTCCATCCTTACCTCCCTCCTTCCTCCTTCCATCCCTACCTCACGTCCCTTCCTCCCTCCATCCCTACCTCACGTCCTTCCTTCCCTCCATCCCTACCTCACTCCCTCCTCCCTCCATCCCTCCCACACTCCTTCCTACAATCCATCTCTACCTCACTCCTTCCTCCCCTCCAAATCTCCTATTACCCACTTCCTTCTTGGCACGAACTTCACCTCAGCTTTCCTGCTTTTTGCGGTCATGTTTTTCCATCATTCATTCAACTGTTTTCCCTCCCCACCCTCTTAGCTCTCTTACCAACCCACTGCACCATTGGCAGTAATTATCCTCATATGTATATAGTTCCGTTTTCTAAAGTTTAGTTTCTCGTCGTCCTTCTCGTGCTGCCTCACTCTTTATTGTTAACTCTACTGGTTATTCTAAACTCAGACCACATTATTGCAATCGCCTAGGGGCTTTCGTATGTTATTTCCTCTATGTCTGAACTGTTTGAAGGTGAGGTCCGAGGTCCAGCCTTGCTGGTTTCATGGTCTCCCACTTTCCCTCTGGTTGTGTCCCTAATCTGTTGGTACCTGAAGCTACCCCTTTCTTAGCGCTGCATCCAGCATCTTGGCTCTCCTTGTACCGGTCCCCCATGTGTGCCATATTTTCCCAGTCTGTCTCCTTTTTTTAAATCCCCCCAAGATGAGTAACTTTGCCCTTCTTATTTGGCCGATTCTGCCACTTCGGCGTTTGTGGCACCATCGTTCTGTTACTCTCATCGTATGTTGCTTGGTTTCCCGCAGTTTCGGTTGCAGGTTGTACATCACTATCATCACTTTTGAACCCTCGGTTTAAAAATGTTCCTGACTAGTAGTCAATCTGCTTCAACCCCATGGCTAGTCCACTCCCATCTCCTCAAAATGCATTGATTTTTGATGAACTAGTGCAACTCCTCCTGCATACCTCTGTTTTCCCCCCTCCTCCTCCCCGCCCCCTGTCATCCTCAGGATCTGATATCCAAAGGGAAGATTGCATCTGTTATTAACCTGTAACTTTGTCTCTGCGAAGGTTTATGAAGTCCGGGGATGCCTCAGTGATTCATTTCAGCCACTCATCACCTTATTTGCTATTCCATCAAGTATTGGATAACATACCTTCCAGCTTTCTACCAGAACTCTATTCAGGGAGTGGTGAGGGGTTTAGTTGCAGCTGAGGTGTGGTAGACTGGGACTGGATATTATGTAGGGTGGTGTTGTGGTGGAATTAGGCGGGGGGGGGGACTGTTTGGTAAATTGAGTGCAGTAGAATCTGGTTATTGTATTTGGTATGAAGTTGTTAGGGGTAGGGATGCAGTGTGGGGTAGGTCTTTTGGGCATTGGTTGTTTGTGTTTCCCCCCTGAGGCTGCACTTCCCTATCTGTCGGTACCTGCTCTGTCTTCCCACCCTTTCTACCTCTGGCACTTCATACTCTCTCAGTTTGCTTCTTCTGTTTCTGTCATGACCGTTGGTTTCCTCTGCAGGAATCTAGTTTCGTACCATTTCTGTCTGTGAATGCCAATTTTGATTATGCGCTTCTTTTCCGTTTCGTACTGCTCAAGTCTGAAAAATTGTCTGTAGTTTTTTCATTCGTCTCCTGTTACTTGTGATGATGCTATCAATCTCATTTAACCTCCCCTTGTCTTCTTTCGTCATAGGTCTTTCTGCTCATGGAACCCACTAATAATAAGCCATCTTTCCTTCTCCTCTTTCCCATTCGTTTTTCCCCCAATATCTTGGGATCAATGAAATTAACTTGTTGGTTTGTTTTCCCTTATTGTCTCCGCGAGTCACGGCAAAGCCTGATGATCAGTTTCCTCAATGGGCTTATTTCTCAATTCCATCCTTCAGTCTCCCTAACTTTCCTGGAATGTCTGCATCCCAGCACCGTTTTCCTATCAGTCCTCACCTCTATATTCCACTTCAGCACTTCCAGTTCATCTGCCAGTGCTATGCACTTTTTGCCTCAGCAGCACACATGTAACTCCTACTTCTTGATCTCTGTAGATATAAGGGAACATAAGAAAGGAAACACTGCATCAAGTCTATCTACTGGCCCATGCGAGGCAGGTCCAAGTCACCTCCCGGCCTTAAACCAATGCCCCACCTAGTCAAGGTCAGGTTCCTCCCTTAAGATAGGGGCACGACATCAGACCCTACTAGCACATAGCTAGTCAAGGTCTTGACACCTAGCCACCACTACACCCACTCATGAATTTTTATCTAACCTATTTTTTAAAAAACTAACACAACATCTTAGCTATCTATACGGTACTTTGGGAGTTTGTTATACTCTTCCACGAACTCTATTATTGCAAGCCTGTGCTCTCCGTATCCTTCCCTGAATAATTATTTTTCCGATTAAAACGCATTGCTGCGAGTCCCCTGTCCTCGGATAGATTATTCGTATCACGCTGTTTACATTCCCTTTTTGTATTCTGTTTTCCATTCATACACCTCAATCATATCCCCCTTTAAGTTCTCTGCCTTTCTAGAGATTGCAGATTCAGGGCCCTCGAATCAATATTGTCATTTTCCTTTTATACGTTTCCAGTGCATATATATTGATTTTGTAATACGGTGGACCAGAACTGTGCAGCATAATCGAAATAGGTCTAACCAAAGATATATAGAGTTGAAGAACAACCTGAGGACTCCATATTGCTTTTGGTCCTTTTGTGTGAAGCCAAGATTTCTGTCGGCATTTTGCGAACACTTATGCAACAGTTGTCTTGTTTTGTAGATTACTACTAAACCAGAACGTCACCCAAATCCATTTCCGCAAATAAGTAATATTTAGATCTACATTATTTAGTTTAAATATGGCATGGTTTTTTTCTTGTCCTGTGTTTAGAACTTTGCATTTGTCTACAATAAACTACATCTGCCACTTCTCCTACCACTACATCAGTCTATTCAAATCTTCATGGGGTTGCTTAATGTTCTCATTTGAATAAATTAGTACGACCTATTTTGGAGTCATCAGCAACTTGCTTATGTCCCGCTTATTTATCCCTCACAAAGACGTTATTATAAATTGTAACAACAAGGGGCCCAACAACCGACCCCATTGAACAACCACTCGTGGATACCCCCCACTCTTATATCTCCGCCATTGATGCAAACTCTCAGCTGTCCTTCTGTCACCCATTGCCTCTGACCCAGAAAAAAATTTCTCCTATTCTGTGTACCTAATTTTCCTCATACCCAATATAACCCTTAGTACACAATATCATAATCATTACCATGATCTGCCTCCCTCAAACACCTTGGTGAAAAAAAGTTATTAAATTCGTAAGACAGGAAAACCCCCTTTGTAAAACCGTGCTGAAACATTTAATCAATTTATGCCTTTTTCAGATGTCTACAAATTGCCTCGGCACTGATGCATTCCATAAATTTCCCTACTCTCACACCTAAGGAGTAAGCTTATTGTCTATAGTTCGAAGCTAAGGACCTGTCACCTGCCATCTAAATAGGTAGATTACAGTTGCCATATTGCCACTTGTCTGGCACATGCCAGTTTGTAGTGATATATGAAAAGATTATCAGTGTGGTTTGCTAAGTTCTATTTTACATTCATTTAAAACCCATGCAAACAGTTTATCAGGGATTTGTTAGGGTTTTAATTTCATCACATTTGTCTTAGGACCAGTCACTAGTTACCACAATCCTGCATAGTTTATTATCGTCCTGTTAATACATAATTTATAATTTCTGGAGTTTCGCTAGTATCTTCCTGAAGTATAAACAGAGAGGGAAAAAAGAGTTAAAAAATTCACTACATTCCCTATCATCCACTGTCAGTGGATCTTACCTGATTACTCTTGAGTGGGTCTATCTTGTCCCTAATCTTACTTTATAATACTTGAAAGAACCTTGTGGTGGTTAGTCATTCGGATCCCTTGCATCAAGCCTCATATCTCATAATCCTTCCATTGAGTTTGCATAAACTCATTTTTTCTCACTCTCCTTCCATTGTGGCTCTTGATCCTTCCTACCATGTTTACCTTTATCATCCTTGATATTATTGCCTCTTCATAATGACATTTTATTGTTGTTTATTGAGGCATAACAAGTGTGATAGTGTTAAGAGTTTTGTATGTTGGTGTGTGAGTTTGGTTGTGTGTGATTGTTTGTGTGTTTTTGTGTGTTTTGTGTGTGTGTTTGTGTGTTGATGTTAAGTGTTTTGTGTGGGGGGGGGGGGGGTTTTTTTTGGGTTTGGGTTGTTTGGTGTTGTGGTGTTGTGTTTTTTGTGTGTAGTGTTTGTGTTGTTTGTGTGGTTTGTGTGTTTATTAGGTTTTGTGTTTGGTGTGGTGTATGTGTTTGGTGTGTCTTTGTTTTGTGTGTGTGTGTTTAGTGTGTGTATGTGTGTGTGTTTTGTTGTGTGTGTTTTGTGTGTGATGTTTGTGTGTGTGTGTTTTGTGTGTGTGTGTTTTGTGTATGTGTTTTGTGTGTGTGTTTTTGTGTGTGTGTGTTTGTGTGTGTATGGTTTGTGTGTGTGTGTTTGTGAGTGTGTGATTGTGTGTGTATGTGTTTTGTGTGTGTGTGTGTTTTGTGTGTTTGTATGTGTTGTATGTGTTTGTGTGTGTGGTTTTGTGGGTGTTTGTGTAGTGTATGTGTTTGTGTGTGTGTGTTTGTGTGTGTATGTGTTTGTATGTGGTGTGTTTTTTTGTGTGTGTGTGTTTGTGTATGTGTTTGTGTGTGTGTGTTGTGTGTGTTGTTTGTATGTGTTGTTTTGTGTGTGTGTTGTGTTTTGTGTGTTTTTGTGTGTGATGTGTGGTGTGTGTTTTGTGTGTTGTGTTTAGTGTGTGTATGTGTGGTGTGTTTTTTGTGTGTGTGTGTGTGTTTATTGGTGGTGTTTGTTATGTGTTTGTGTGTGTGTTTTGTGTGTTGTGTTTTGTGTGTGTATGTGTGTGTGTTGTTTGTTGTGTGTGGTGTTGTTGTTTTGGGTGAGTGTGTTTGTGTGTATGGTGTTTTGTGTGTGTGTTTTTTGTGTGTGTGAAGTGTTTGTGTGTGTGTTTGTGTGTGTGTGTTTGGTGTGTATGTGTTTTGTGTGTGTGTTTTTGTGGTGTGTTGTTTGTGTGTGTATGTGTGTGTGTGTGTGTTTGTGTGTGTGTGTTGTGTGTGTTTTGTGTGTTTATGTTTGTGATTTGTGTGTGTAGGTGTGGGTGTGTTTAGTGTGTGGTGTTTTTGTGTATGTGTTTTGTGTGTGTTTTTGTGTGTGTTTGTTGTTGTGTTTGTGTTTGTGTGTATGTGTTTGTGTTGGTGTTTGTGTGTTTGTGTGTGTGTGGGGTTTGTGTGTGTTGTGTTTTGTGTGTGTGTTTTTGTGTGTGTGTGTTTTGTGTGGTATGGTGTGGTGTTTTGTGTGTGTATGTGTGTGTTATGTTTGTGGTGTTTTGTGTGTGTATGTGTTTGTGTGTGTATGTGTTTGTGGTTGTGTGTTTGTTGTAGTGTGTTTGTGTGTGTGATTTGGTGTGGTGTGGTGTGTGTATGTGTTTTGTGTGTGTGTTGTTTTGTGTGTGGTGTGTTTGTGTATGTGTGTGTGTGTTTGTGTGTGTTGGGTTAGTGTGTGTTTGTGTGTTGTGTGTGTGTGTAATGTGGTTTGTGTGTGTGTTTGTGTTGTATGTGTTTGTGTGTGTTTTTTTTGTTGGTGTAGTGTGTGTGGTTGTGTGTGTGTAGTTGTTTTTGCGTGTGTGTGTTTGGTGTAATGTGTTTGTGGTGTGTTTTTTGTGTGTATGTGTTTTGTTCCGTGTTTTTGTGGGTATGTGTGTGTGTTATGTGTGTGGTGTTGGTGGTTTGTATGGGTATGTGTTTGTTTGTGTGTTTTGTTGTGTTTGTATGCGTGTTTGTGTGTATTTGGGTGTTTTGGGTGTGTGTGTGTTTGTGTGTGTATGTGATTGTGTGTGTTGTTTTGTGGTGTGTATGTTTGTGGATGTGTGTTTTGTGTGTATGTTGGTTTTGTGTGTATTGTTTGTGTGTATTTGTGTGGTGTGTATGTGTGTTTGTGTGTGTATGTGTGTGTGTTTGTGTTGGTTTTTTTTATGTGTTTTTTGTTTGTGTTGTGGGTGTTTGTACCCAACCTAGTTGTGGTTGCAGTGGTGTTGTGTGTGTTGTATGTGTGTTGTGTATGTTTTTGGTATCTAATGTGTCGCTGGGATCCATGATCGTATTTGTATGTTGTTAGCTGTTGGTGTACTTACACCTAATTGTGGATGCCAGGGTCGAGACTCAGCTCGTTTGCCTCCGCCCTTCACTGATCGCTACTAGGTCCTCTCTCTCTCCCTGCTCCATGCGCTTTATTTATCATATATCGTCTAAAAGTTTTCTATGTTCCCTGCCTCCACTACTTCACTTGCTAGACTCGTCCACCTCCTGAACAACTGTATGACTGAAGAAAAGCCTTCCTAACATTCCTTGATCATCTCGATCTTTTTCAACTTGCAGTTGGTGAACCCCTTGTTTTTATTCCCCTGTGAGTCTCTGAACATCCTGTCTCGACCACCACGCAGTATTTTGTAATGTCGTAATCATGTTCTCCTCTAACCTCCTGTCCTCCAGTGTCGTCAGGGCAATTTCCCTTAACTCTTTCTTCTGTAGACATTCCCCGTTACTCTGAAACTAGCCGGTGTTGCAACCTTAGCACATTCTCTAATTTGTTGATGTGCTTGACCTGGGTTGTGGTTAACCAAACTGTTGCTGGCATACACACCAGTAATGAGCTTGAACGTACACGGTGATACATGTCTTGAACAATTCCATACTAAGGTATTGTAAACGCAATTCTCAGGCTCCCATATGCTGCATCAGTTTATGTGGTTGGTGTGTGCTTCCGAGACCGCTCTGGAGTTTAAACACAGCTCCCAAAACTTCTTTCTTCCTTGAGCGAGGTTTGCACTGACCTCCAGTAAAATCTTCACCATGACTTATGTCATACTATACACGTCAGTGACACTGGTCATAGCTTAGTGTCTCGTATCAATCTTCTTTCTTAAAAATGGGGAACTACATTTTGCCCGTCTTCCATACTCAGGTAGTTGCCCCTCATTTTCAAGTATGTGTGAAGATTTTGTTATGTGCACACACCGCATCTCTGGCTCCCTCTCTAAGGACTCACGGAGAGACGTTGACTGGGTCCTACCGCCTTTGGTATCACGTTCACATAGCAACTTCACTTCCTCCTCGTTTTGTGTTCATATAATCCTGGGAGTCCTCCTGTCCGACTGGTAAATAATACTTCTGTTAAAATCTTATGTTGAGCTCCTCACATACCTTTTTGGTCGTATCTTTTTAACCCCCCACCTTCCTTCCTCAACCTGATTACACTGGTCCTTACTGTTTTTTCCTCCTGATGTGGCTACACAAAATCTTCTGTCAGACATGATTTTCGTTGCTCCTGGTCAATTGTCGTATTGTCGCAGAGCCTGATGAGTGTTAACTCACTACTTGTGTGTGTTGCTTTTGTGTGGTGTGTATGGGCCCGTGATGAGTGTCGAGCATGTACACAGTTGCGCTTGCCTTACGCTGACCTAAAACGCTCCTATCAGCATTGTAACCTTCTTTGCGGCCTTAATACACCTTGAGTGCTAATACCTGGAGTTTATCTGGAGAGAGTTCCGGTGTCAACGCCCCGCGGCCCAGTCAGTGACCACCTAAATGCCCCCCCCTGACTTTTGTTTTAAAGTACCAATTACTGTTCTTACTGAGAACTTACAAGCCATTCCCGTTTTTCAACACTAAAGTAATAGCGGAACCCTTCACGTTTACAACTGTCTGTACCTAGATGCCCATAAAAAAAACCCTGAGGTGTGTGTGGTGTGGTACTCACCTATTTGTACTTGACCTAATTGTGGTTGCAGGAGTCGAGTCTTAGCTCTCCTGGGCCCCGCCTCTTCACCGGTTTCCTACCTGGGTCCCTCTCTCTCCCCGCTCCATAGCTTTATCAAACCTCATTTAAAACTTTTGTATTGGTTCCTGCCTCCTACGTCACGTCATTTTCTCTACTAGGCTATTCCACTGCCTGACAACTCTATAACCTTAAGAAAACTTCCTAATATCTCTCTGACTCATTTGTGTCCTTCAACTCTCTTCCAATTGTGGCCTCTTGTTTCTGTGTCCCTCCCTGGACCATCCTTCTTTGTCCACCTTGTCTATTCCCAGCGCAGAATTTTAAATGTCGTTTATCAATGTCTCCTCCCCTGAACCCTCCCGGTCCTCCGATGTCGTCATGGGGGCCGGATTCCCTAATCTTACTTCTAGGACAGTCCCTTTATCACTGGAACTAACCTTGTCGCAACCTTTGTACTTGCTCCTAGTTTTCTTGAAGTGCTTTATCAGTGCGGGTTCCAAACCGGTCTGCATACTCCAGTAATGGCGTCATACACGGGTACAGTGTCTTGAAGAGGGCGATTCCATACTAAGGT